CGACCTGTGTATTTTTAAAGGAATAAAGAGGCAGTCAAATTTCTTGTGAATCCTTTAGACAAGTGATGAATGGAATGATTGGCTGCTTCTGCCAGAGCCATGACCCCTCTCCCATAGACAGTGGGCTTTGTGTTGGTGCATCAAGGTCTCCAAGCTGGGGTATGTTTCTTTCTCTTGTAGGTTCCGTCAATGGTGAGCACCAGCCTCAATGCAGAAGCGCTCCAGTATCTCCAAGGGTACCTTCAGGCAGCCAGCGTGACATTGCTTTGAACTGCATTTTTCTCATTGGCTGAGTCCAGACGGTTTCCTAGGAAATCATGTAAACTTCTGAGCACAGCTGCATTAAAAGAAAGCAAGTTTTCCTTTTGAACTTTGGCAAATTCCAACTTGTAAAGGTTATTAAATGTTGCTTTAAGCTGAGCGTAAGCCAATTAAGTGGTTTGTGTAATCATAAACATAAGTGGGTGACTTTTCCAGCTTGCAACATCAAGGGACAAGTATTAAAAATTCAGCGTATGACCTTGATTTGAGCATTTGCACGGTTTAATTTTAAATTTTTGATGGGCACTCACTGTGGAGACTTCTATTTACTAAATCCTTCTGTTTTGAAGCTGTTGCTATTCATATTTCTCTTGCCCTTTGTCTTTTTTGTCTGAGTTTTTATTGGAAATGTAAGTGAAGTAATTTGCCAAGCAATGCACATTTCATAGTTTTAAATCTGTAATCAGCAATAAAAACCCTAAAATATGTATCTAAGAAAATCTGAAGAACAGATTTTCGGTGCTGATATACTATTATAAAAACGAAGAATTGCTCCCTTGTCCCCTCCTGGACTCCATAAAATTCTAATTTCTAAGTCATTTAAACTCAGGCTAGTTTTTTTTTTTTATAACAAGGGAAAAGAGGATATGCATACAGACTTGGGGCTTATCTACTAGAACTTTTTACAGCCATTCCTACCGTTTTGGATAAGTGGTTACGTCTGTGAGAGAAACGCTCTGCCTGGCTTCACAGGCCTGTAAGTACTTCTCATAGTGTGGACGTTTCATCTCTTTCACAGGGTCAGTCCCCTACAGATCAGAGGTTACTTTGAACTTTTCAATCCATGGCACCTTAGAACCTTGAGGTCTAGGAAGAGCCATCACAATGGGTGTGTCCCAGCAAAGGGCGCATGGGGAGCAAGGTGGCATTGGCTCAGTTGTGGCCTATGGAATTCTGTAGAATTGGTTTTTAGGGAATGAAAAATCAGAGTATCTAAAACTCTGAGACACAATTCACAGTTTTCTTATGCTGGAATTGTTGGGTATGTCACATAGTTAAATCAGAACCTCTTTCCGCCCAGGTTAAGTGAGTTTTCATAAAAATTACTGATGTCTTTGTTTACATTGCAGGAACACAAATGATTTTCTTGCCCATTTTTGTAGTCTTGCCATTTTATTTTTTAAGTTGTTTCTGGGTTTTGTTGGCTTTGATAGAGTAACAGAAACATTAAATTTTACGTTATTAGGCTTAAGTGGTCGCTGGCAGAAGGATATTGAGAAATTGGACGTCTGTTTTTTTAAGCTAGTTTAATATACATGGAAAGCAGGGAATCGATGCTGATGGTTTCTATATGTTTGGTACTCAACTCAGTTAAAGCTGGTGTTGAACATTTAAAGTAAATGCACAGCAGATACTGTCCTGAGGATGCTTGATGCAACATCTCACACTCAGGACTAATGAAGTTCTGAATGTTTTCCTCCCTTAGTTCAAAAGATTGAGTAGTGGATGGTTTGTCTTCGTAAATGCCAAGTATGTGTGTCTTTTTACAATGGTTACCAAACAGGAAGACCCATGTTTGCTTACTTTACTCTGCCGCAATTCGTTGATCAGTACTCTAAATTTATAGAAATTGCTTTTTTTGCGGGGGTGGGGGGGCAGGAGCCTCAAGCTGTACCCCTGGGTAGAGTGCTGTGGCATCACAGCAACCTCCAACTCCTGGGCTCAAGCGAGTCTCCTGCCTCAGCATCCCGAGTAGCTGGAACCACAGGCGCCCACCACAATACCTGGCTGTTATTTGGTTGCAGTTGTCGTTGTTTGGCAGGCCCAGGCTGGATTCAAACCCACCAGCTCTGGTGTACGTGGCTGGCACCTTAGCCACTTGAGCCACAGGTGCCAAGCCAGAAATTGCTTTTTGTTGAAGCTTCTTATTCCATCATCCAAGACAGTATTTATATCTGGCTTTCAAAGATTTAGTTAACGATAGACTGAAGTTGCTGGGGGTTTTTTGACAAGTGGTGATGACTGTAGCTCAGTGTCCATTTTCTGTTAAGTATGAAGACATGTGTCTGAATTACAGCTCTGCCACTGATAGTGAAGGTGAGCAAGTGACTTGATCTCTATAGTATCTATCTTCAGGGGGGTTATAATAATGAGATAATATTCATAGAGTACTTAAGCAGAGAACCCATACAGAGTAACCACTAATAAACAATGGAGAAAAGCCTTAGGAAAATCCCCCACACCCAGGTTATGTTTACATACTGAGGAAAAGTCATTGCAAAGTTTGTCATGGGAGCATCTTACTGGGTCCACTGATGATTATCCATGGTATTTGATCATGTCTTTAAACAACTTGACTTTTTACATAACTTATTTTTTATTTTAAATGTGCTTTCTTTATGGGGAACTTGGAAAATACAGAAAAATATTTAAAAATTAAAAATCATTCATATTTCTACCTGTTTTAAACATTTTGGTTCATTTTCCCTTTTTTCCCCAAAGTTATACATGAAATCATTCTATGTATATAATTTTATGTTTTTAAAATAACATTCATTTGGTAAACATCAGCAAATGTATATATATGACTTACCATTTTGAATATCTCATTACCAAATTACAATATATAAGCATGTTAGACATCTTGGAGGTTTTCTGATCTTATTGACAACTCTACAGATGAACATCCTTATATATCAACCTTTGTATCCCTATGTTCTGAAGGAATTCATTGGCTAATTAATCTCATGCAAAGGCTGTATCATTTTCTATAGCACACCTCAACCCACACTGGGCACTTTTCTTTTGTTGCCATTTTTATGGGTCAACGTGGTATTTCATTTCTTTACTTGTGGGGCATAATCAGCTTGATATTTAATCAAACTATTACAAGCATGTGGTAGAATGTTTATAGTAAATAGGTTTTATAACTGAGCGACTAGTTTCTGCACCCCCCACAAATTCCTTTCTTGAGGGTACCACTTTCAACTGGTGCTGCTTTAGTTCTTCAAGGGGTTTCTTTCTTAATTCATTTCCTTGCTAACCCTTGAGACATCTGTTAACTCCATTATGGAAAATGAAGATTTAGCTTAAACTATTAGTACCCTGATAACTAAGTATAGTTTACAGGCTTAAAGTGGTTCACCTTACAAGTGGACTTTATGAAAACGTGGAAATGATAACTCATGCAGTAGAAACCACACTTCAAGTTCATAACATTTTTTTTTTTAAACTTTCAGGCTAGTCAATAAATTACACGAGATAGCAAATATTTTATTATGAAATTGTGTTAGATGATTTTGCCCAACTATAAGCTAATATAAACACAAACAGCACATTTAAGGTGGGCTAGGCTAATTAAACGTTTCAGTAAGTGTATTAAATGTATTTTTGACTTAAAATATTTTCAACTTATCATGGTTAGTTGGTCAGGATATAACCCCATTATAAATTGAGGCGCATATGTAACTTAAACTCTTACCTCATTCCACCGGCAGTATCTCTGAGTCATCCATGTTGACCATGAAGGTCTCTTCCCATACCCTCCACTCCACTTCTAAATTGTTGGTTCTGTTGTGTTTTCAATTTCATATTGTCCAAGTAGATGGCATTTCATTCCATGAATGACCAGTTTTTTGTGCTTTACCTGTGGCTCCCCTTTATTTTTGAGAGTTTCACTAGGTTGCCCTCTGTAGATTGCCATGGTGTCACAGCAACCTCAAACTCTTCAGCTTAAGTGATTCTCTTGCCTCAGCCTCCCAAGTAGCTGGGCCTACAGGCATCTGCCACAATGCCCAGTTATTTTTTTGTTCTTGTTGCATTTGTCATTATTGGTTACCTGGCCTGGGCTGTGGGCGCTGAGCCGGCTCCCCTTTATTTTTGAGGCAAGGTCTTGCTTGCTCTGTTGCCAAGTGTCCAGAGTGCAGTGGCATTATCATAGCTCACAGCAATCTCAAACTCTTGGGCTCAAGTAATCCTTCTGCCTCAGCCTCCTGAGTAGCTGGGACTACAGGCATGCACCACCCCACCTGGCTAATTATTTTATGTAGAGACAAGTCTGGCTGGCCTTGAACTGCTGGAATTATAGGTGTAAGCTGCTGCCCCCACCCTTTTTAAGACATAAGGACATTTTTTTCCCTGCTTTTATCCTCAAAATGTTTTCTTTCACTTTGTCACCCTTGGTAGAGAGCTCACAGCATCCTCAAACTCCAGAACTCAAGTGATCCTCTGGCCTCAGCCTTTCAAGTAGCACCACCATGCCTGGCTAGTTTTGTTTTCTATTTTCAGTAGAAACAGGTTCTCACTCTTGCTCAGGCTGTGTCTCAAACTCCTGAGCACAAGCAATCCACCCACCTTGGCATCACCCTCTCAGAGTGCTAGGATTATAGGCTGTGGCTAGCCTATGCTCAAAATGTTGAATTCCCTTCCACCCATAGCATTTTCTATAACCACCTGATCACTTCTGGTTTTTCAGGTAGTCTGATTCATAACCTTCTTCCAAAACAAAAACCAACCTACCTGCCCTTCAGCCAGACTAGCATGCATGCCCACCTCAATTTCCAAGAGAGATTAGAGTGCCCGAGGGTATCAGCAGTCTCCTAACTCGTCGGGGTCACATCTTTGGGGAGCAGTATCAGGTCTGGGTGCCCACATGCCCCTCACAGGCAGCGATGCTCCCCATGCTGGCCCTCCATACCAGGCTTCCCGTGTTTGAGTTACTGCTCAACAGGACCAAATTCTTCATTAGTAGCTGTTTATTGATCAATAGTTTGATATAAAGTTATTTCAGATCTTCAGATTTTTGCCCATATGGAATCATAAGCATTACAAATTTTCTTAAAAATAAAAAAAGGGTAGAGGGCAACTTGGGAGGGGACCAAGGTAGCAGTAGTGGCATTTGAGAATAAATTAACAAAAAAAATTTAGTATTACCATTTATTGGTGACAAACACTAAGTTTTACTTACATTCCATGGGGAGAAAAATTCCAGCGTAAACAATGAATGGAAGCAGTACTTAACTTGCAAGGCTACCAGGCTTCTCTTCTGGACCATACGCAGAACCTCAGTGCACACATTTCTGTGTACTACAACACAACATCAAAAGCAACACAGCTGTATATGGAAACATAGGTCATTCTTTTCAGCCCTACATGGAGATGTAATTAACAGTATCAAGCACTCAAGGAAAATCAATCTGTAGGTATATGTGGACTACATGGAGATCATATCCTGTAGTGTAGTGACAGTTATGTCCTCAAGAGCTATATGGGTAGACACAATTTTTATAATCTTTAAAACAAAGATCAAAGTTCATTTCTTTAAGTCCTGTTGTATTAACAAAAATAAAATAGAAAAGGAACCAAATGATCACCTAAAGTTTAAAATTCCTAAAATTGTCCAATTTGTACAACTGGGGGAGACTTCATCAAGGTTTCTGAGAAGTCCAGGACTGTTTCAGCTAAACCAGAGGGCACACAATTTGCATCACTGAAATGGTCCTGGGTTAGTCCGATAAAATAAAAATGTATAAGCACATACACATGGATATGATCTTTGCCGGTTAGATAACAGGTAAAGTTAGTCTCAGACAAGTTTCCAAACTGTGCTAATAACTAGATACAATTGAGACTCAACTCTCAAATGAAAATTTTATATAGTGTCATATCAATCAAAAGAAAATAAACTAAGAGAAAGCAGTGGTTATGATGTGGGTACTACAGGAGGTGGTGGGGCCATAGCACGCTAGAAAAGTTAGGTTACACTGAGTAAGAAGCATTTGATTTTCTCTGGTGCTTTTAGCTCTGGGGCCGGTCTAAGGCCTCTCTCTGGTGTGGCTGTCCAGGGTTTGTCCCAAAGTGTGAGTGAGCCAGTTTGAGAAAGGGCCATGCTTTCTGTTTTCTGTTTCTTCTTTCACACGGCAAAATAAAATAAAGACCAAGTACTGGGGTGCCCAGGGCATGATCTGCTGGTTTCCTGATGGAGTAGCTGCTTCTGTGTGGGAACCACTTGTTCACAAAGTGGCCATCACAATAAACCCAGCACAGTCCAGCCCAGCCGTGGCCACCTCCTTAATGTCTCCATCTTCACCACACTGCTGCCCTCATTCTTTACCCACTGTGTCTCTCGGCCCACTGGAGGTATCAGAAATTCCAAATTTTCAAAGCAGTTTCAGTATTTTCAGTATATATGTTGGGATCTTATAATGGTTCCTGGCCAGAAAAGGTTCAGCACCTCCCACACCTTTAGGGAAGAAAAATAAAAATAACAGGTTTAAAACACTGAGACAAGCTGTATGTTATAAATGGAAAGAATTTAGCTAACAGGAACAATTCCAACAGTACATACAGGCCCCAGTACTGGATTAAAGTAAGATCTTCCCAGGATACACTATTAAAACAGCAAGGAAGATGTGTGTATGTTAACTCTGGGAGGAAAAAGAAATACATCTATATATCTGCATTAAAAAAAATACAAAGCTCATACCTATAATTTTAGCACTCTGGGAGGTTGGAGCAAGTGGATTGGATTGTTTCAGCTCAGGAGTTCAAGACAGTGTGAGCAAGAGTGAAACCCCATCTCTACTAAAAACAGAAAAACTAGCTGGGTACTGTGGTGGGCAGTCCCAGCTACTTGGGAGGGTGAGCCAAAGAAGCTCTTGATACCAAGTTTGAGGTTGCTGTGAGCTGTGACTCCATTGTACTCTGCCCAGAAGGACAAGAGACTCTGTCTCAAACAAAACAGTACAGGCTCAGCACCTGTAGCTCAGCAGCTAGGGTGCTAGCGACACTAGGCTGGTGGGTAAGAACCCGGCCCAGGCCTGCTAAACAGTAACAATTACAACAAAAAAAATACCCGGGCGTTGTGGCAGGCACCTGTAGTCCCAGGTACTTGGGAGGCCGAGACAAGAGAATCGCTTAAGCTCGTGAGTTTGAGGTTGCTGTGAGCTGTGATATCACAGCACTCTACCAAGGGCAACATAACACTGTCTCCAAAAAAAAGAAAAGGAAAAAAACAGTACAAGAAAGACATACAAGAAACTAACAAAAATATACTGTAGGAGAGGAGGGTTTGGAACTGTGTGAGGGCAAAATTGTCACTGTGCACCTTGTGAAGTAACAGTTTTGAATTAATGAATGTGTGACCTATTCAAAATTTTTAAAAAACCAAAATAGTAGAGCTCTCTGCCTAGAGAATGTGGAAACCTTTCACAGGGAAGGGCCAGAAAGTGACACGGGCAGGTGTTCCCACGGTCAGCTGCACACTCACACAGACACTGGTCCGTTTCCTGTTCTTGGCATCTCTGTACTTTGTTGGTCCAAATCAGACAGCAACTTTAAAATGTTGAGAGCAGCCTGGTGGGAATGGAAAAACAGGTAAACCACAGACACTGCTTGGACCACGGCATGACACACTGGACAGGCAAGTGACAGCTCCTGTTCCCAATAAATAGGTTCTAACTTTTAAAAACTGGTACCCCTAAATAAGATGGTTAAATGTGTAATTTAAAATACTAATTAAATAAAACTTAACCATGATTGTCTCACTGAATCACTTGTATTTACTTCTAGTATTTTTCACCTTGTAGTAACCAGACTATATACATTTTTATATCCTGATTTCAAATAACCAAATATATTTTCCTTGCTGTTACATTATGTACAGATACTAATCTGATGGATGCATCATTGTATTTCATCAAGTGATACACCATAGTTTAATTTCATCAATTCCTTTTTCTTTCTCAATTTTCTTACAATTTCATCCTGAAACAGAATACCAAAGGAAGGGGCTTTCTACAACAGCCAGAATGCGGACCTACAATTCCTTGTTCTGGTAAGAAAAGAAGTGAACACAGTCTGTGAGTGAGCATGGGAAAAGGAAGAGCAAGGCAGACTAAACCCAACAATAGGATGGGACAGTGATCCAGTCAACTAAGACAAAAGAGAATTCAGAAATACAGACTGACTATCAATCAGCTGTTCTCAAGGTCTATGGGAGAATCCTCCTACCTTCCTGGGGTAGTAACAAGCTGAACAAGGGAAGACTCGACATAACCACACAAAGTAATTCATTGACCCCTCTGCCCTAGCAGGGACATACCATATCATGGCAGGATTCCACATCTTTGCCAATACCATGGCTGATCAGAGGCGGCTGAGAGGAGCAGTTGATAAGAGATACAAATTCGTTCTTGTTATTTTTGGGGAAGTCTTTGTATTCAACCTAAGGGGAAAAAAGAGATCTGAGGCCAGGGCAGGGCAGGGCACACAGTAAGTACAAGCAGGCTGGAGAATTGCAGCTCCAGGCCCAAAAACCAAGAGAGCACTTCTCTCACTGAGCTCAGCCAGACTGGCCACGCCAACCCTACCCTGTCAGGGGACTGCTGCTGAGGGGCCCCAGTCCAGACTTCAGGAACCTAGGTGTTTACTCAAAATCACTGGGCTATAAGTAGCCACATCCTCCTACTAGGCAGAAAGCACCAACATTTGTTCTTTTTGAAATCCAAATTCTCAACCATTACTAGTGGTTAGAGGCTTTAAGAGGGTTAGATTTTAAAATGTTACCAGGCAGCGCCTGTTGCTTAGTGGATAGGGCGGTTGGAACCCAGCCTGGACCTGCTAAACAACAAAGAATGACAGCTACAACAACAAAAAATAGCTGGGCATTGTGGCAAGCACCAGTAGTCCCAGCTACTTGGGAGGCTGAGAATCGCGTAAGCTCAAGAATTTGAGGTTGCTGTGAGCTATGACTTCACAGCTCTACCGAGAGCAACGAACTAAGACTCTCAAATAATAATAATAATAAAATAAAATGTTATTACCAAAGGATAAGAATTTTCTCTTACCATATATGCTTACAATACTTTCTGTGCCTGCCTTCCCTCCCCCTTCCATCCCCTAAACAAAACTTAAAAAACAAGATACAAAGCTCATTCCCCGAGAGCGGCCTAAAGATGACTACTGATGTCCAGCACTTATAGCACAGGCGTTACCTGGAATCCCTGGACTCTGGAGAGATAGTCCAGTTGCTCAGAGGGTCTTGTTAGAGGTCCATGGGGTACGTGGCCTGAAGAGATGTTATTCTTTAAAATGGTCTCAGCTGTGGGCGAGGTGCCCCCATACAACAACTCTCGGGCTATCATGGCAGTTACCGTAGCCTTGGCAGGATTTGGCGCTACCCTGGTGAAATCTTTGGCGTGATGTCCTTGACTGACTCCTACAGCCTGGGCGACCTCAGGCACCATGGGAAGAATTCCAGCAGGCAGCTGCTGATGGCTGAGATAAGGCATCCTAAACTCATCCTCTTTATTACCTGGGGAAGGTATTTCTTATCACACAGATAGATAAACACCAATCCACATCCACTGCCTGGAAAGACGCTATAACTTTGTACTCCTCCCACCACTGGCCCTCTCCTGGGCACACAAAGCAGCAGTGACACAGATGGAGACACTGCGTGTTGGGACTCACTGACCAATCCAGGTCTTACTGTTAATTGGGAACCATGCAAACCCCAGGGTCACAAACACATGAAGACAACGTTAAGATCACACTTACTAGTTCCATTTTCATCCCCAGAGCTAGGTTCAAAAAAGGTTACTTTTCTTCCATCCCCTGGTTTCTTTACTGGTGTCTTTAAAAGAAAAAAAAAAGGCCATGAGCATAAATAAATAATTGAGAAATCAGTTCCTGCTAACTAAAACTATGCAAACTCCCATCAGCATCATTGATGCCACTGGCAGAAAAGCCTGAGCCCTGGTATGCATATGCCATCCTGACACATGCCTTTCTCCCAGTGAACCCATCCCCCCTCACCCACGCCAGCCTGTCCACCAAGAGCATCTGACGAACTACATCAACCAGAGAGTGAGGAGCCTCCGCTATCACAGGAAGACAGAGAAACATGTAACCAGAGGAGCAGAGATGCCAGATTGGCAGAGCCCACCAACATAGGGAAGAAGCTTTTAGACTGAAGCTAATTATAAATCAATATTTCCTGAAGCTTATATCCAATTAAAAGATAAGGTGTTATTTCCAAAGTAACACACATTAAGCACAAGGTCTCCTTTCTGACAAATAAGGATGCTGCTTATGAATCTCCAAACAAGGTTTTGAAATGAAAACCCCAAAAGCCAGTGCTAGGATCTATGCCAATGGGGTCCCAAAGCATTAGCTGTGGCCACTGCTGATGTCAATTCAATATGACTGGTAGACATGAACGAATCAGTCTGGATTTCAAGTTTATCCCAACAGGACCACTCAGTGATTAGAAACAAAGTCATCCATGGATTCGGCTAAAGTTCTATTTATCACTCTTGGCCCAAGTGAATTTTTCAACAGGCAATTTTCATCTGGTATTCATTTCACATAAGGAAAATCACAAACCTAAACTATGGATTTGACCCAACTCTAACGTCACAATGTCTCAATGTCCCAGAAAAAAGTCTGTGAATCTTTTATGCAGGGTTCATTTCAAGACTGCAAATGACAGACACACACTCATTCATTTCAAGCCAAATTATCCATCACCTTACAAAGGAGGAGGAACAAGCTGCCCTCCACAAAGCATCCTCAGACTGCAAAGATGCTAAAATAACAATCTAACCCAGAGCCATGCCTCAACATGCAAGTCCCCACTGAGCACATTATAATGGTCCAAATGGATTAAGATGCTGCTCAGCAGGGTTACTTTACTGCCAGAAGGAGGAAGCCTGGCCCTGAAGCTTGCCCATGGAGATGCCAGAGCTCCCTGGGTGAAGCAAGAAGACCATCTTGTGATAAGAGCCCCAAGCAGTCACCTTCTCCTCTGACTTAAGTGCTGGTTTGGTGGGCTGCGCCTGCGGTACTTTGAAACCAAGAATCTCCAGCATGTTCTCAGCTGCATTGCGTTTGGCCACCTTCTTATTGGTGCCTGATCCTTCTGCAGTGTGGTTTCCAACCTTCACCTACATAAAGAAGTCAACATACAAACCAGTGCTTAAGTCTTCAGAGTAAAGACAAGGCAAGAATTATGTGTTAGCAAAAGAACTCAGCAATGGTCAGAAGCTAGAAGGCTCAAAGGTGATGCCTGGAACTGACCCAGTCTGGTCTTAGATCTGATTATTAAATATTCAGGAATTTGGAAAGCTGGCTGTTAAACATGGCCATTATTAAACATTAAATTATATAGATTTGTAATTATTTTAACAACAAGAGGCAATGATCTGAATATCATTTATAATTATGCTCTGGAGCGTCTGTCCTTCTGTGGTGTTTCTGCTGGGACAGACAATGCTGCTGCCCCTACACATCTCCCCAACTCTATGCTCAGACTGTTGCTCTGCCTAAAGTCAGCCACAGTAACAGTACTGGTACTCCACAAATCTGTACATGCTGCAGATCAAAGATTAAGTTATTTACTGCTTTCTAACTCTAAACTTAAAATGATGGAGAAAAAGCTAATAACACGCTTAATGCGATTTAAGCTTAGAAGCATGTGAAATCTATAGCCATTACATTGTAACTAGCACAAAACACTGAAACAGGCTGGGTACAGTGGCTCATGCCTGTAATCTGTAATCCTAGCACTCTGAGAACTGAGGCAGGAATATCGCTTGATCACAAGAGTTTGAGACCAGCCTGTGCAAAATGAGACCTCCCCCTGCCCCCACTGTCTCTCCTAAAAAAAGAAAAATTAGTGGAGCACAGTGGTACATGCCTCTAGTCCCAGCTACTCAGGAGGCTGAGGCAGAAGGATCTCTTAACCCAGGAATGTGAGGTTGCTGTGAGCAAGGCTGACACTGCAGCACTGTAGCAGAGTGAGACTCTGTCTCAAAACAAAATAAACATTTTTCTAGTCTTTGAAAATTATTACCCAAGGCTGGGCACGGTGACTCATGCCCCTGTAATCCTAGTACTCTGGCAGGCTAAAGTGGGTGAATTGCCTCACAGATTCAAGACCAGCCTGAGCAAGAGCGAGACCCAATCTCTAAAATTAATCAGGCATTGTGGTGGGCACCTGTAATCCCAGCTACTTAGGAGGCTGAGGCAAGACTTGAGCCCAAGAATTTGAGGTTGCCGTGAACTGTGACGACACAGCTCTCTACCAAGGACTTCAAAGTGAGACTCCGTCTCAAAAAAAAAAAAGAAAAAAGAAAAATGAGTGACTACTCATATTGTTTACTTTCATCTTACTTGTTAATATAAACAAAAAATGTCAACTAACACTCAAGCTAGACTTATATCCCAGGTCTAAACTATAAATCTAACGATGACATTAGCAACATCTCTGCTGAACTAGATAGTAATAAAGCACTGTTATGTTGTCTGAGTTCCTGACATTATTGTTGGTGACTATCACACAGATGTATTACATTTACCGTACAATAAAAATACTAAAGATTGGCTCAGTTCCTGTAGCTCAGTGGCTGGTGCACCAGCCACATACACCAGAGCTGACAGGTTCGAATCCAGCCCAGGCCTGCCAAACAACAACTATGACCAAAAAAAAAAAAAAAAAAGCCAGACATTGTGGTGGGCACCTGTAGTCCCAACTACTTGTGACTCTATTCAAGAGAATCGCTTAAGCCTGAGAGTTTGAGGTTGCAGTGAGCTGTGATGCCACAGTACTCTACTAAGGGCAACAAAGGGAGACTGTCTCAAAAAAAAAACCAAAACTAAGTATTATTTGTAAATTATTCTAAATTCACACATACAAATGTGCATGTAGGTGTGTGTGTCCCCATCTATACCCACATGCACATCCCTCCTACCATACCACCCTGCACTGAGATTTGGCTGTGCAACCTTGTAGCATACCACTGCTTCCAAGCAGGTCCAGATCACAGGTACCCAGCTGCTACCACCAAAAGCCCTATGTCAAAATGCTGAAAAAGTCAAGAAAATCCTTGCCAGGCCTCCATGAGTGGCCTGGGGCTAAATTCAAACCTGGCCACCACCAGCCATCTCATCATCTTGGACAAATTACTGATTCTCTCAGAAAACTACAATTTCCGCTTGTCAAATGGGAAGGATCATTATTTTTCCTACCTTCTGACTAGGGAGTTGAAACACACTAGGTTAAATGACAACTCCTTACAGGTTGTAAACTACTATAGGAGAGTTACATATTCTGTTTTTCATCAGAAAACACTATAAAATTCAAATCACAATTAAATCAAGCTGCCCATGTGAAATATTCATTAAATAAGCACATGGACAAACACTCTGTACCAATCTGCAGTGCCACTGCAATCTAAGGAAAAACCAATCCTTAATTCTAGATTCTATAAAAGTATTAGGAGAAGCAGGAATAGATCCTGTGTTGGTTTGAGACACTCTTGCTATGTTACCCCGCCTAGAGTACAGTGGTGTCATCACAGCTCACTGCAACCTCAAACTCCTGAGCTCAAGCGATCCTCCGGCATTGGCCTCCCAGAGTGCTAGGATTACAGGTGTGAGGCACCACATCCAGCCAAAATTTATCTTTAGAAAATAACAATATTGGCTTGGTGCCCGTAGCTCAGTAGTTAGGGCACCAGCAACATACACAGGGGGACGGCAGGTTCAAACCCTGCCTGGGCCTGCTAAACAACGATGACAACTACAACAACAACAACAACAAAAATAGCCGAGCATTGTGGTGGGCGCCTATAGTCCCAGCTACTTGGGAGGCTGAGGCAAGAGAATTGCTTAAGCCTAAGAGTTGGTGGTTGCTGTGAGCTGTGATACTACGGCACTCTACCAAAGGCAACATAGTGAGACTGTCTCAAAAAAATAAATTATTTATGAAAATATCTCCAACATGCAATGAAGAAAAAAATTCACCCACAATCTCATCATCCCAACACTCTGCAAAATTTTGTCGTCATGCGTTCACATTCCCACTGTGCCCTTGGGGGTCCCATGGTACACAGACAAGGGCACGTTTTTATGTTGTTAGGTAAGGATAACCTTTGATGGCAAGGTGTCTGGTCCTTGGACCTTGATCAGACCCTGAGACTGACGTCAGAAGAAGGGCTGCAGCACCCCACACAGACCCACCTGCATCACGAACTCCCTGCGGCGTGGGAGGCCTCGCTCCGTGAGGAGCATGTACTCCGGTTCCTTCTCCTTCTTTGCCTGCTGGATCTGGGCCAGTCTGCTAATCGGATTTATCCCCTGGCCATATTCTGGGCCTGTCTGTGGCTGAGGAACCAAGAATACAGAAACTTTGTGCCATGCAATTCATAGAAAAGACTTGGCCGATTCAGAGGTCAGAATATGACAGGAGATGAAAGATTTTTTGTTGATCTAATGGCTTAGAATTACTCAGATTTTTTTAAGGTAATCTTTTAAAATTAAAAGATGGGCGGTGCCTGTAGCTCAGTTGGCAGGGCGCTGGCCACACACACCAAGGGTGAAGGGTTCGAACCTGGCCCAGGCCAGCTAAAACAATGACAACTGCCACAACAACAACAACAAAAAATAGCCGGGCATTGTGGTGGGCGCCTATAGCCCAGCTACTTGGGAGGCTGAGGCAAGAGAATCGCTTAGGGTCAAGATTTTGAAGTTGCTGTGAACTTTGGCTACGGCACTCTACCCAGGGCAACAGCTTGAGACTATCTCAAATAAATAAATTAATTAATTAAATTAAAAGATGCTTTATGGTTTTCTACAATTGTTCTGAGGTGATTTTAAGGTCTTAGCAAGCCAACATCAACATTTCACTATTACTGGCAAGCATTAATTGCAACACCTAGCTTTTTAAAAAATTTTAGCATGTAATAATAAATAGAAAAAAATAGAAAAACACTATTCCTTAAAATGCCCTGAAAGTCTGTATGATAAGTTCCACCAGCTTACTTAATAACTCAAAATCCAGAAGCCATGGATGAAAAGAAAAAAAAAAAAAAAAGACTCATGCTGACACCATATGGAAAGAAAAAGTTAAAAATCCCATAGTTACTTCCTGATGGCCAACTTCTGTGCCAAGGAATCTTCGCTCAGTCCACTGATCAGCAGTGATTTGGAGGTTATATTAAGCAGAAAAGGAAACTATGAGACTACATACAGTTCATCACTTTTATGTAAGAAAAATTTAGATCTTGGGCGGCACCTGTGGCTCAAAGGATTAGGGTGCCGGCTCCATATGCCAGAGGTGGCAGATTCAAACCCAGCCCTTGCCAAAATACTGCAAAAAAAAAAAAAAAAAATTTAGACCTTGATATGACACGAAACCATGTATACTGAGAATTAGAGCAGACCCTAGCACTCATAAATGTCCCCAAATGGAATCCTGTCCCCTTTCTAGGGATAGGGAAGGGATTTGATAGGTTCCTTAGTGCAACTCAAAAATCCCAAAGAAGGCAGTCCAGGGGCCTAGAGTCCAACATGGGTCTCTCTCACCTTCGGGAAGCATGGCAGTCACTGAGATGTACCCACATGCTTTCCGCACAGACATTTCAGTCCGGCCCTGCTCCTCACTGTAATCCTGGGGTTGTAATAAGCAACCCCTGCCTATGTGTGTGGGTGTGTCTGCAGGTACTTCTACTGAACGGACACGTGTCCTTATCTGTACCTAACCTGTGGGTCTTGCAGCGGGTTTACCAGGTTTGTCATGTAGCTTGTCCCCTTTCACCCTGGGGACAGCTATCAGCCTTCTAAACACCTCAACCATCTGTGGGAAATAAAAACTCTTTGTTCAGAAAAGATCTTACTTTGGCTATGGGTTTTGTTTTCTTTTTGATTCTGGGCTTCACTCGCTCAACTGCTGGCAGGGGGGGCAACTTCTTCAGCTCCTCAAGAACAGCTATCGCCGCATTTTTCTTTGAAATCTTCTTGCTCTTCCCTTCACCTTCCCCCACGAACTCCCCAACTGAAACCTTGGTCACAAAGTTCTTCATGTGGGGTGGGCCGCTCTCCCGGGCCACCTGTGTCAGAGGGAAAGACTGAGTGAAAGCGGACAGACACTTAGTAAGAGCTGTAGGGCACAGTGGCAAGCACACGTCACACAAAACACAGGCAGAGGGGCATCGCGGACAAGGCCCCCTAAATGAAGGGAGTGGGAACATCAACAAAAGGAAGCAGTGATCAATTCTCAATGCTCTTTACCCCTTACTTTTTAAACTGTTCACTTGCTTGAGTCTGATGATACAAAACAATAAGACATGTGTACTAGGGAGACATTCTCTACCCCCGACTCTCCCTTCAGAATGGCTCACACCTCCCCCCCAGGATCCTAGGCTGTGCCCAGTGCAGTGTGACCCACTGTGACTGGCAGAAAGGAAGCTAGCTGAGAGAAGCCCAGAAATCAGTGCAGCACAAAGCGTTCCAGTTTAGTACCATGCTGACTAAATACAGACTGGTAAGCTGCTGTAAAGAATGAAAAAACTTTTTAGGAACCAATAAAGAATGATTTCCTTTCTTCTTTTTCTTTTTTTTTGAGACAGAGTCTCATTCTGGCCCCCTGACTAGAGTGCTGTGGTGTCATAGCTCATAGCAACCTCAAGTTCTTGGGCTCAAGTGATCCTCTTGCCTCAGTTTTTCTATTTTTAGGAGAGATAGGGTCTTGCTATTGCTCAGGTTGGTCTCCAACTCCTGAGCTCAAATGATCCACCCACCTCATAAAGAATGATTTCTAGCATATATTAACTGAAAAAAAAAAAAAAAAAAAAAAAAAAAATC